GTCAAACTTGACCCATTTCCAACCGCTTTTGCTGTATAATTCAACCTCAAAATTTACTGCATTGATTATAGCTATCAGAGGATGAATTAAGTGGTTATGATACTGAAGATTTCAACATTTTTTTGTGTAGACATAAAAAAGAAGCATTGTTATAAAAATGGTGTTGAGAATTGAGACCAATTCTTCGATTTGCTCAAGGGATCCTTGTTCAAGAAATTTATTTAGAAGTCAGAAAAAAAATAGAGGATGATAACACAAGATTTACGTGGATATACTTTCTTACTTTTCTGAATTTTTTTCTTTTTCCTTTTTTGTTTTTGTTTTTGTTTTTTTTCTTTTTTAAATGCTTTAATTAAAAATAAGGAAAACACAATTTTACCCTTTTCAATTTAAAGAATGCTGGTCAAATATTTGAATAATAGAAAAAAAGTTGAAATTCATCCATCTGGATGAACACTGCCTGTTTTTCAAAGGTTGGGGATTCCATTAAGAGAAGTGCAGATAACCTCGAAGGTTGGGGACATTTGCTATAATTTACCCAAACAATTAAGTGAAAGTCGCACTTCTATGTTGGTTCAATGTTCTAAAAATACGTAGAATATTGACTAAGTCCCTGTTTGGTGAGGATTAAAATCAAAATTTTAATAAATTTTATAAAAATTAATAAAATGCATGATTGAAAATTTTTAGGTCTCATAAAATATATAATTAAAATTAGTTATTGACTTCGATTAATATAGATTATAATGTCTACCAATCAGGAACTAAATAACATAATCAAGCTTCAAACCTAGGTGAAGCCTAAACACAATTTAGCAACAAGGCCAAGCTTCTCACCTACACTAATTTCTTTTAGAAACTACATTAAACTTACATTTAAATAAACTTCTTGCCTACACGGGTTTGCACAAAAGTAATTTTCTTTGAATAATACTATCTAGCATCAATGATACTAAAACATCAATTTAAATGACCACTCGTAATAAATTCAATTAAATGAATTACGCGACATTGCATTTAAATAAATATATTATTTAATGTCATACAATTATCATTTAAACTAATACTTGACCTCAGTAATATTGAATAGCATTACCCTTTTTTTTTTTAAAGTACATTAAACTTGCATTAAAATAACTACTTTATAAAGGAGTATTTATAAATCTACTTTTCAGTGCAACATATTAATCAATGTATCATTCTAAATTACATCTTTAAGTTAACAAGGGAACTTGGAGAGCAATGATTAGAAACACCAAATGAGCATTCCAGGGAAGCAATAACCAATTTCAACTTCTTATTTTCTAAAAGATAACTCTATGAAAAGATGGAAAGAAAAGAAGTGCTGCACTGTCAAAATGATTATCTGTGATGACATTAAGAGAAGGACGAAAATCAAACATAAAAGATGAGTCACCTGCCCTTGGAACATGGCATTCGTGTCATGGAAAATTGAAAATGGCGACTTGTTTTTGTTTTTCTCTAACCAACAAAGTATAGCGACGTGCAGCATCTAAAGCAATGAATATGAAGAGAGATGGACAGGATGCTCTACATCTGGAAATCTTTCCGTTCTACTGGAGGCTTTCTTCCGTCTTTGTACGTGAGGCCTTCAAAACCATTGCAACTTCGATTTCTGATAGCGACATCTAAACAGCAAGATTACAACATGAGTTATGCTAGTGCTCCGAAGTGCATATTCAGTACACCTGACTAAATAGAATAATGTACGTGATTTTTAATTTCTTTTTCTTCCTTGATAATGTCTCCCTACCAAACATGTCACAAGTGATACAAAGGTAAAACATTCTATACCTGGCAGATTATAATGACCTAAAGGTTGCTTTCATTAATATGGATGAAAAGCCATTTGTGGGTAGCCTATGCAATATCATACAGCAAGTCCCCAGGAAAACAGAAATAACAGGATAACATTGTGATGCCCAAAACGAGCATAATTTCCATTTTCCCACAACCATAAGAAAAAATTGAACGCAATTGTCAAGACATACCTCATATTATTTATGTCGTGTGCTGCTACTACTACTCTGCGGATTATGTCTTCTCCTGTCCACTGTTTTTAGATTCAACGCATGGTGTAAGAGGTGGGAATGAGGGAACGGCTTGCAATATGAACTTGCGGGCAATTCTCACGCCTGCTGATGAGCTTGAACCCAGCTTGCACGTATGACCATGAGGGGGAGAAACTCGCTTCTTATTTGGAGACCTTACTTTCACAGCATTGAGTGGGCAAGGAGTGTCTTTCAGTATCTCTGGTGTGTCATCTTCCATGACATTGTGTAAATCATCATAAAAGTCAAAGGCTTGTGGAAATTTACTCCCGCTAAACTGAGCCATAGGGGTGATAGGTGAACCACGCCAACGAAGGGAACTTGCCGAAGAAAAATGTCCACTTGGTTGAACTTTAAAATTATTTTCCCATTCTTCTGCATTTGGTGGAACGGCAAGAAGCTCCATATTGCCATGTCCATGGTACCCGGATGAGAAATCATTTACTGCTCCTGCTTTGTGGTATTCTAGTTCATGATCAAAAGAAACTAGATCTAGTTCTTTAGAAGTTTCTGAGATCATATCAGGATCATCTGAATTTCTAGGAGACCTCGGGAACCTGATGCATGGTGCCCCGAAGGTGGAACCAGATTCTGGTGAGTGGAAGTATTTTCCATAAGGGAACCAGGCTTTTGATATACCCTTTCCCTGGCTATACAATTCAGAAAGAGAGAAAGGAAACAAGATTACTGCTTATGAAGCAATTTCAAATTACAAGTAATTAGTTAACCATTTGATCAGAAATTAGTGCATTGGGATTGAAATTTATCTAATCAGAATTAATCTTACTCCGAGTATTGGAATGACGGTGTCACTGGCGTCAAATTATGAGGATTGCATAGCTCAGTATTATGTAAAACATTTCCAGACCCCACAATTTCAAGTTTTTTAACAAAGCAGCCATCTGTTGTTTCATCAGTTCCTTGCATGCCCACATCCTTATTCATGCCATATTCTGAAAGATGGAGAATCCAGTTCAAATAAAAGTAAGCCATAAATGGTTCACAGTTATATACTTTATAATTCGTAAAATTTAAATGCTATCTATCACTTTGTTGTTGTAGTACAAGAAAATATCTATCTTCGTACTTGTCATTACGCTCTCCTAGTCTCCCAGCACCTCCAGGTCATTTCCATAGTGAGCAATTTATACTTTTATTAGCCTGTTCAGTCATTAATATCTATTCCTAAAGTCTCCTGAGTATTAACAGGTAGAATCTCATGCAATCTGATAACAGAACCAAAAAAACCTTGATGCAAATCATACCTCCCTTTTGGCCATGGACATTTTTACATCCTTCGCATCGGCACCCATCAGAACAACCAACTTTTGCCTGTCCATAAGGTGCAAAGAAACAAGTTTAATCAGAGCAAATGCAATTAAGTAGTACTTAGCATGACTCAAGAGGTTCTGAGACTGATACCCAACCCCCTCACCCCTTCTCCCAAAAAATACGATGAAGATAAGTATGCATAAAAGCACACCCATATACCATATACCTGATAGCACTCACAGTACTTTTTGAGGCACATCGACTTCTTGCAATTGCACCCTCTTTTGTGCCTTCCAGTGGACTTCGAAAACTGAATCTCGTCTTCCTGTGAACATTTCAACTTTGTATTTCAGTTAATATTGCATTGTTGTACGGCATAATTATAAATTTTGATGCCTCAATACCCCACAAATGCTTGAAGGTGGTTCATTGAAGTTCTGTAAAATCTTTGGAGCAAATGCCAGAGGATTGCGAGATTCAATTTGTTGGCGTATCTCTAGAACTGTATCCTCATATTCAGGTCTGTTAAAGCATCCTTGGCAAGAACAAGGTTCCGCACAATATATTCCAGCAGCAAAGCAATCACAGTAACTACAAGGAAACAAATTACAAAAGCACATGATGGAAGTGCAAATCCAAATTGGCAAAAACATTTTATGCGCTTACAGCTTCAAGCATTTAGACTTCTTGCAATTGCAACGCTTGCAACTGTAATCATCATTGGACTCGAATGTTTTCTTCCTGGAGAGATTACAACCAAAATATTGTAGTAAGACAAACATTTAAAGTCATTGCTATATAGGATAACTCATTGACTTGCCTCTTCTTTTTGGGGCTTGACTTGCTGAACTCCTCAGCATCATCAGCATTTCCAGTGTTGTACTTCCTCTTGTTAACTGGAGTTGATTGATCTTTGATTGGATTACAGACCACAGGGTTGTCCAAAGGTTTCACGTCGTAAGTGGACAAAGAAGTAGCAGAATTAGCTGCCACCGAGGCATGATCGTCAAGCCTACTGTCATAAGCGCTTCCTAGAACACTCTCCGACGCAGATAAAAATGTAGAGTCCTTAGAGTTGTCCGGTAGATGAGAGCTCACAGGAGTCACTTGTTGCTCGTCCCGTATACTAAAATTACCCTTTTCAGATGATCTCACAATTATAGTTTCTCCAGCTCCTACTTGCATGGTACTGACAATGCTATTTAGGTGCAAACCAATACCTAAAGGCATCGGAACTTTTATGTTATAATTCCCTCTATTTCTAGGATAAACCATGTATTGGGTCATGCCAGCTTGACTAATGGAAGATGGTGGTGTCTCCAAGGATGGTGATTTGGGGCCCTCTCTATCTGCCGAAGATGCAAGTGGTCTCGAACTATTCTCAATACCTAAAGGGTTATCTACATGCCTATTTGTTATTACTTTCTGCTGAGCATCTTCAAACTGGAGACAACGTACAGGCAAGCCACTGTGTTGAGCAGCCTAATAAATTTGTGAAAACCTTCTAGTGAGATAATATTTCAAGAAGTGCTTAATGCTGATTTAACAAAAAGGAAAGCTCAAAATTCCGAGATATTGTATAACTAGAATCCAAAAAAAAATATTTTCTTCACTTGCCATTCAAATAAAATCTACTCCTATAAGAACTTAGAATGTGATATATGTGTGCAAGAACACAGAAGATTTCATCAATTATTGTGAGTCCTAGAGGTTATAATTCAACAAATTTCTCTATCCATAGAATATGCATATACATGAGCACCGTTTCTATACACTGGTGAATTATCATTCAACTATGGCGTGCTATTGGGGTTGGTTCAACTGTGAGCAATAAGTTATAGACATCAACCGATGGAGTACCTTCCATCATTTTTAGTGGCATCATAAGAAACCAAAATTGAAGAAAGTTAAAGCCCGAACTGCCTAAAATTCAGCACAATTGATACAACTTTTTGAACTTCATTTTGTTAAATATATCCTCATCATATTAACCACTTTTAACATAAATCAATATCAAACGATTAAGTTATTCACAAAGATTATCTTAAGTAATGCCTAAGAATAATATGCTGTAAATTACATTTGGCATCAATATAACAGATTGTTTTAAACAGGATAATCTTACTTCACAATTCGAAAGATAGGTGCATGTTCAACATATGTGCATCGGGAAAGATAAGTAGAAATGCATGATAAGAAGCTTGAGGACATTGGTTTGAGTTAATTGTCAAAAAACAAGAACCAGACGAGTTTCTTAGGGGGGAGAAAATTTAAATGATTGAGAACAGTACAGTGGATATAAGAAAATGTTACTGGCAATGCGTGAAAACATTTCAAAATGGAATTTTTAAACTAGGCTTCTTAAAAAGGTTATCGAACGGATTTCATAGCAATTCCTTCCAAATTAATGATGAGATAAGGGAAGATGGCTAAGCAGCTAAAAATGATTTGACTGTGCAGGCTTACTGATAAAGAAATACATAAGAACTTCAATTATTTGAATTGAGATCATTAATAACCAGCAACCCCAAATAATAACTTCTAAAAATATAGATAATCTGCCAGAGAATTAAACACATAGCATCATACTTTAAATACCATGGGATTACTCTGCACTTCTTTCTGAACTGGTTCTGCCAAGGCTCCAGTGGTTTTTACAGAGTTTTCATTCCCTTCATAAATCTGTACAGATTCTGAGAGCAAATAAGAGGAATCATCCACGTGACCTCTCTGCCTGGCTTCTGCATTCTGCAATTGGAGATTATATATGAATATGCAACATTTCGCATCAAAGGACGAATCTACTTCTGATTCGAAACTGACCTCGGTCATAAAATTTTCCGGATGCTTGTTGGTCAAAGTGAGGTTCTCTGACAAATTGGATCCAAACTTTTCACAATGATCAACTCGTAGATCACCATCTTCGGCCGTCATATCTATTTCTATTGCCCGCCTATCAACTGTTGCATCCCTTTCATGTGTCTTGTCTGTTTGTTTTGTCATGGCAGAAGGTGCAACAGCTGTGTACTCCTCATTTCCTCTTGCATCGTTTTTGTATTCAAGTTTCCCAGCAGATTCCTTTGAGTTGGTTACTTCAACTGGTGGCTGATCAATGTCGTAAGAGTATTTCAAACTGGAATCTGCTGAAACATTAGAATTAAAAGAGTCAATGCATACGACGTCAGCCAGGAACTGGTCAGCACATCCTATGGGACTTTCAGTTTGGTCATCCACGGGTCTGCTACTATCAAAACCTTTCTCCAGGCAAGTATTTAACCCACCACCCAGCTGGGTATCCAGTTTTTCAGATCTTTCGGCAGCAGCGATATTAATCCTGCAGCCTCCATCCTGTCCAGATAACTTTGCACTCAATAATAGAGGAAATTGTGATCTGCATAACATTTAACATCATCACTCTATTACTCTCCGTGGCCCGCAAATTGAAGATAAACATAGAGGAACTTTCTGTCAACATCAAAACATATTAAACCTTTTGAGTAAACTTGACTGGCTCTGAGGATTGAGTCTTGGTGATGTGAATACAATGGGAGGAGAATTAAGTCCGGTAAAACCTTGAGAAACTGCAGGTTCCTTAACAGGCTGTATGGGAGAAAGGTTACTAATGTAACTGAAGACAGGTGAATCCTAGGTCAAAGGAAATAACAGGTGAGAAATCAAAATAACAGATTAAACAGCTCTCCCCAACATAGTCACTTTAAATATTATGGATCAACTAAATGGCAGGTAACAGCAAGTCAAGAAGATGAAGAAAGGTTTCTTTCTTTTTCTGGATATAATTAAATGTCAGTATACAAATACATGAACAGACTAGGATATTCATATTACCATTAACAAGAGATACGGATCAGAAGCTGAACTGGCGAACTTCCATATAGCTGATGGAAGAAATAGAATTCAAGCCTCACTTAAAACACAAGTCCACGCAAAAGTGCATTCAAAATGGGAGACAACATTTCTCATCATGTGCAAAAATTCCAGTACAACTAATAATTCATTGGCAGAACAAGTTAATCATTTGTAATTCCAAATCATAGATACAGATGAAGGCCTTAAAGAATTTGTCCTTTAAAAGTAAAACAGAATGGAGTGAAGAAATTTACACAAGGATGATTGGGCACTGGGCAATTAAAAGCTAATACTGCTGGATGTATATACATAAATATTTACACCAACCAAAAAGAGTATATATGATCCTGTGATATTAGAATTGACACCTTGACACCAACCAAAAAGCTAACACTGCTGGATGTATAGACACCTTGACGTAGAATATTAGAATTGTTTAGTAACAAAATACATACATCAATTAGGACAGTGGGAAATCTAAATATAATTAAAGTTCTTGTGAACCAAATCGAAGTTTTTGCTAAACTAGACCTTCAGAGTTTTATTTGGGTTCAAATGTGAATTAGAGCCGTTTGCACCCCATTTTCTTGCCAATATGCATTTTAGAATAGTGATTTGATAGAGAATGTGTTGTTAAAAAATAAGGAAAAGTTTTGAATTTACGTATAATATTATTTTATTGAAGAATGTGTGGTTGAAAATAAAAAAGAGAAAAATGTATTTTGGAAAAAATAGGGACCGAACAGGGGCTTAATACAGCCGAGAAATTGCTTCTCTACAGCTACACTGCACGAATTTCTCCCAGTTGAAGAATGCCATAGATTTACCCAAAGATTTTATAATTAGAATTCGGTTATTTTCCAACCAACATGTAATGAACCAACTGACCTTTTCCCAATTTACCACATCTGAATTCTTCAAATCATAAGTCTCAACCCATTCCCAGCCAGGCAATGAATATACTAACCGCGGCAGCAACTATAATGCCATCTAAATATGGTAAAAATCACTGATTGCTATTCTACAAATCGCTTTGAAAATCCTAGAAGGGAAGAATTACCCTGCAACTTCATCAAAATTGATATAAAAAACAACCACAAACCACAAAATTTTCAGAACCAAATTATCCGCAAAATCAGAAATACTCTAATCCAAAAGTTCACCGCCTAAGAAAATAAATCTTATCTACTTCAATGAACAAGATCCCATTATTACAATACTCAACATAATCCTGCTCAAAGCCTCTCAAATTACCAAAACGGAAATCCATTATACAAATATAAACTTACAATACCCATCTCAAAATTCAACTAAAATCCACACCCCCATTACCAAGCTAGTGTGAAATCAGTATAAAATTAATTAATTCACATAAAGTCTAGTAGAAAATAATAAAATGCTATACAATCACCATTTATATGGGATATATTTTGTTGCCGCGTGTGTACATTTAATAAAAAATGAACTCACATAAAATCAAGTAAAAACGTATAAAATTCCCCAGAAATACACATTTTATTTATAGAAATATATAGAGTTGTGTTCTTGTACTTGGACGGGAACAGTTTCAGTAGCGTCCCCTTCGGAGGGTATGGTAGATTCAGAGGAGTCCATTTTCAGAAACCCTAATGTGCTCTCTCTGCATTTCCTACTTTCTCACTCTAAACTCCACAATTTTCTGTTCTCTCTCTCCACTGATCTCCAAAAAGGTTCGATGAAAGTCAATGAAAACGTGAAGATATTGCTCACAAATTTTTGTGTGATTTTTTAAAGGAAAATAATTTATTTTTATTTATTTTGTGACTGCGGAAATGAAAAATGAAAAAGAGGGAATTGCTGGATTTTAAATTGAGAGTAGCTAGGGCGGGAAGTGCGTGTTTTCAGACTGGGCTGGGCCCAGTTTTAGGGTTCAGAGGAATTTTGGGCTACTTCGTTGTTAACTTGGCTTGAAATAACTGTAAATCCTAAAGGGAAAAATTCATAAATAAGATGTATTCTTTACACTAATTCAAAAATAAGGTTTATAATTTGAAAATTCAAAAATCAGGTTTTTTTTTTTTAATTCTAATATAATATAATATAATAAACCTACTCCACATACACCACCCCCCTGCTCCGGTGACCATTCCGACCACCACTCTTCTCCGGCGACCATTCCGACGAGATCACGGATTTTTAAAGAGTCACGTATTATTATATTTTTAGGTCACATTTTGGTCACATATTTACAATTTAGTTAGTCACATATTATTTTTCAGTCACGTGTCACATATTATTTTACGGTCACAGTTCAAAAATATTGTAAGTCACAATTATTTCGTTGGTCACATATCAAGATTTATAGGTCACATGGTCACATATCAAAATTTATAGGTCACACGGTCACATATTTCAAAAACTGGTTGGTCACAGATTATTTTTGAGTCACATATTACTAAATTTTTAGGTCACAGTTGAGTAATCAGTCACAGATTACCAAATATTTGGTCACATACCCTCAAATACTTGGTTACATAACCAAGTAATTGGTCACATACACCAA